GCTACAATGTTCTTCCGCAAGACGCACGCAGTTCTGTTTATTAACCGCTAGAGCGCCAAAAGTTATGGACTGCAGCTTTAAATAAATTATAGCATAGTTTTTTTTTTACTAGGGTTACTATAAACACAAAATCAAAATTGTGCAAAAAAAAAAAAAGAATCATTAAATGAATTTAAATTGACACATTTCAGTTTCCACACAAAAAGTCAAATGATTTATGTACCTGCTCCAACAGACAAACAACAGCTACGACTCAAGGCGGAGCAGCATTTCATCTGTGGTTTCTTCAGCCTCTTGGGCGAACAACCAGGCCAGACGGGGCCGTCTCCTCTACGCCCCTCTTATTCTGGTGAACGAGGTGGGGGGCACTCAGGCAATGTGGGGCGACACCAATGGCAGCGCCAGCCTGCCGGCGTCGGCCCGTCCCGGGTGGATCGGCAGTGGAATGGCAGGCGTGGCCCAGCAGCCTCGGGCGTACACCACTCTCAAAGTGCCCTCCCAAAACAGCCCCGGATACATGGAGAAGGGAAGCGCTGACAGCCTCGTGGAGTCGGTAAATGCGCTTTCTGAATGGTGCATCAAATGAGCATTTTGCCTGAAAAAAAGTAATAAGGATAGTTTTCATTTGTGCAGTTACAGTGGCTATAAAAACGATTTAAGCCGGACTTTATTTTGTTTTGCAGCAGTGAAGCATATACTTTTACTGTAGCTCTTTTGGCTGCGATTAACAAAAAATTAAACTTAACTCCTATAAAGCCTATTGTATCATATTTGACACTAATTCCTAGGGCCTCTAAATTATAAACATGATCTTTGACCTGTTGTACACAATCTACTTCATTTTGCTGTCGTCTGATGGATAGTTTATAACTTTTTATTAAGTAAAAGGCCTTTTAGTATAATTGTAAAAACTCCCCCTTTAGGTTGTGGTTCATGTGTCTTTGCTGCGAAATCTACTGATTTTAATAAAGTAAATATAAGAATAACTTTATATTGTTAGTAATATTTCAAGATGAACACTTACTGGACTGAAGCAACTTAGGTCTACTTGATTATATATACATATTTTATACAAATATGATCTTTCAGGCTTTTGAGGGATGTTTATTTGTTCATCTCTCAGTCATTGTTGTATTGCATAGCATTATATGTTTTGCCTCCACAATTAAAAACTACAGAGCTTTAATAATAAACCTAAGCATTTAAATAATCTCACTAATGCATATTATTGGGAAATATAGAGCGACACCTGATATTCATATGCATTTAATGTAAGTAGATTTTATGTGTTACTGTACTGTTACAAAGATCTCATTCATTTACAAGCTATCAGAATTTCTTATGAAATTTCGCAATTTCTTATGAAATTCTGCACCAAATTGCATATTTTCACTCCGTTTGGGCTCTGAATAAAAAAGGTGTCATATTCCTCAAGTATGAGGTTCATATTCTTACTATACAATATTGTTATATGAGCCATGAAAATCTGATGTATCAAATATGACACTCAAAACACATATGCAAATATTTTTTTTTAGATTTAGAGTTCAGTCAATTGTTCTTATGTGTGTATGTATTTATTTTAGATCCTGATCTCTGAAGGCTTGGGTCTATATGCCAAAGACCCCAAATTTGTTGACTTTGCAAAGCGGGAAATCGCAGATGCCTGTCACTTGACTATTGATGAAATGGAGAGCGCTGCAACTAACCTTTTAAGTAATGGAAGGGCAGGACAACCGAACGAACGCTTTGAGGAGGATCTGGCTGATGAGATGAACTGTGTTATATCATACTAAACGAGCTTCAGTTTGTTGGGGAGGGCAGAACATAGATTGTCAGTGTGATTGTGTTGTTCTCTGCCCAGCTGAACTGAACATGAAAAGTTGAATGTATTTGAGTTTGTAATGCAGAGTTAATAATTATATTCAATTCCTTCAGTAGATATAAGGAAATTGTGGTTAACGCAATGATCTTACACCTATTGCTTTGCATAGAAGTTTTAATAAGAGCTTAAATGGATAGTTCACCCAAAAATGAAAATTCTCTAATTAAAGACCTTCGTTCATCTTCGGAACACAAATTAAGATATTTTTGATTAAATGGACAGTAACGCAACTGACACGTTCAAGGCCCAGAAAGGTAAGGACTTAAGTACAGTTAAAATATTAAACATTGAGACATGTTAAATCGTAATTTTATGAAGCTACGAGAATACTTTTTATGTGCAAAGAAAAAAAAATATTTTAAGAAAATTGTTGAATAAAGCCATTATTTGTGTTCTTTGCACACAAGTATTGTAATAAAATTACGGTTAAACCACTGATGTCACGTGGACTTTTTTTTAAATGATGTCCTTACTACCTTTCTAGGTCTTGAACGTGGTAGTTACGTTACGGTCTATGCAGGGTCAGAAAGCTCTCGGATTTCATCAAAAATACCTTAATTTGTGTTCTGAAGATGAACGGAGGTCTTACGGGTTTGCAACAACATGAGGGTGAGTAATTAATGACAGAATTTTCATTTTTGGGTGAACTATCCCTTTAAGCAAACCACAGGATTAGCCTACTCTATGATTAGTAGAGTCCTGAAGCAGCATCTGAAAAGATTCAAAGACTTTGTGTGAGATCATAAAGGCAGCATCAGTTTTGTAAAGGAATTGAGATTTGGTCAAATATGCACATTTATGTTGAAAGTATTTGTGCTTGTGGAAGTCTTCATTTTTCATAAGATTAATTAGCCATAATAAAGAGCCAATAACTTTCTAATGACTGGATCACACAAACCTACTGGGGATTACTATTTATATGACTCCCAAGTTTAAAGTCACAAAATCAAAATTGATTTTTTTTAATTTTTTTTATAGAAAGTTTAGCATTTCATATAAATGATTTATGTTGACTTTGCAAAATGGGAAACTGCAGATCACTTGCTAAGATTTCAGACCAAGACAGCTTTGGATAAACAAGATATTTTCCTTGGAATTTTGTACTCATTGCCTAACATGCTTATTATTTCTTATTAATTGAATACATGTTTACGGACCATAAAGTATATGCATACATGCATATCTTAAATAATACTACCATTCTGACATTACTTTCATATACTCCTCTCTGGCTGAACAGAATACTTCCTGATTGTAACACTGAAACATGCATTTTCTGTGCAGCTGCTTTGAAACAGTATGAATTGTCATAAGCGCTATACTACTCAACTTGAAATCGAACTTATCCATGCAGATCTTTTCTCTATTAATGAGTCACTGTAATCTTCAAAATGAAACATAAATAAATAAATTTAACATCCCTCCCTGGGCAATACGTTTTCCCAATAGATGACTTTCAGCAATCCTCCTGCAGCAACTTTTCACTTCCATCAAACGACCACCGCAATTAGCAAACGACAACGATACAACGGTCAACTCAATATCCGATGGACAAAGTCCCTTGCATTTTCTTTTTGTTTGAGAAGCTGGGTTGTCACAACAGGGAAGAAAAACAAAATCACAGTTTCGGTTTCATGCTAACTTTAAGTTAAGGATTTTTTGCTCACTTACAGCAAATTTTGTTCAACTTACTGTACATTCTGTTTGAAAAGACAAGTCAAATATATGAAAATAAAAGGGCAGTTGCCAGGTTCGTGCTCTCAATTTACCAGTTCTAATGCACTCTATAATTGCCAGTTAGTCTGACTGTACCCGGTGTGCTCATATTTAGTATTGGGTTATATTTAATGGCATTTGTTTTACTTTGTCAAACCATCCATGCACCATCAGTTATACTGTAGACTAGAAAGCACTGCTACATGCACAGATGTCTTCAAAGCATTTATTGCAAGGAAGATTGGGTCTTTAGTTTCAGAAAAAAATTCATTTAATCAAATCTCTGATCTGAAAAGAGGTCAAATCCACAAGACCATCAACCGCATCCTGCAAGATAAAGTGTTAATGAAGCCTGATGCAGTAGTATCTCGAATAACCGTAAAAGACAAAAGCATAAGTGAGCAATTTCACTGTACACAGTAACACTTACAGTTAGATATGCAGCTGTATAAGACATACAGATACTTGAATGTGTTAGGACACGGATCAGAGAAGATGCCATTGGAGGCGACAAGAGAGCATCTATTTTTTCCTTCGCACCTACAGCAACAAAAAAAACAAAAAAAACAGTAACACTCTTAGGAACTGCAAATCAGCTTGAATGTTGAATACTTGTGGAGAGTGTACAAATTTTGCTTGCACACTCACACATTAGTAGCTATTGCCTGGGAGTTTGAGGCGTAGCAGTCAGTTTTAGCAAGCTGAGAAGCAGGTCGGCCAGTAGAGCACGTGCTGCTGTCAGTTCGACCGTAGTTAGCGCTGTGAATGCGTATGACAGTCCCATGATCTTTAAAAAAAAAAAAAAAAAAAAAAAACACCAG